CCACCACCAGGTTTTACCAGACAGTAACTAAGAATCCTGCTGACACTTTGCTTAATCACATCAGTGTTTACTTGATGCACATGTGGGGTTCCTTCTATTCCATGGTGTTTGGAGAAGTTTAATTAAATGTTTACAAAGGCTGAACCCTGATTTTAAAAGGCATTGTGGACCTATCCTTGACACTTCAAAAACATTCGTTTCTGCCCTAACTAAATATCTCTTTTTATCTCTTTTCAGTCTTCATCTGGAATTATGTTGGTACCACCAGATCATAAGCTCCTAATGCCGGGTCTTTCTCACCCATATGTTGCTTAGTTTACCTGTCCTTCCACTGTAGACTGAGGGCCTGCTTGATGCCAGGCTCTGTTCTCGTCCTGGAAAGAACAGTGACAGATTTCTTACGTTGGGCTCCTCTGTACATGAGTCAGTGCCGTGTTCACTGTAACTCTGACAAATTCCTGAAATATGCTGGAGAGTGGACTTAAGGATGATACCTCTTTGCTGCCATGTAAGGGAGTAAGACAGATGCTAAAACCTTCATTCACGCCTCAAACCTCACGCGCTTTTGGGTTTTGGGGATGCATTTAGAAACAAATACCCAGAGAACTGTGCTGCACACCCAGCCTAGGGGAGAGGAGCAGTGCGGAGACGAGGAGGTGGCCAGGACAGGGTGAAAGGAATCTCTCTTGTGTCCATTCTCTCCAGGAGTCCATGACCCTTTCCATTTAGCCTTCCATCTCCTTGGTAAGAGGCAGTTTCCCTGGAGCTTGCCCAAGTGGCAGCACAGTTGATATTCCCAAGAAGAAAACCTAGTGATAAAACATTTATTTTCTAAAACTGTGTGAATGGACACACTTGGGGTGCATGTGTGTGACTCTGTACAGTAATTGAACTTTCTCTTTAGTGCCTCTGTCTCTCATGTGACACTGGGGAGATTGATGCACATATGCCACTGAACGACATGCCATCGTCCCCGAGCCCTTGCCATTCCTTTCTGCCCTTGCTGCTTTGACAGATTCTGGGCCGGATTGTGTTTCCTTTGGATCGGTAGACCTGTTGATGCAACCCAGAAAAACATCCTATTCAGTGCTTTGCTCCTCATTGTCGTAGCAGTCACAGGTGCTGTCTGTTGCTCCTTAGGGAAATTTTGCTTCATCTCATACGAGGAGGAAAAGACGATGCCTCAAGAATGAATCTTCTGTGTATTCATTCAGCCCAGGTTAAAACTTCAAAAGCAGTTTTTTTCCCTAAAAGTAACTGGAAAACAAGGATTTGTTTAGTCCAGGAAAACAAAACTTGAACTTGATTTGCAGGAAAAAAAAAGAGAAAGTAGCTTTTCCTTTCACTCATGCCTGTGACAGGAGTGTATGTGATTATATATGACCTTTTATCTCTTTCAGTTCTGTGATTTTGCTGCAACTGAGAAGTTCAAGCATAAGAAAAAATAGCCAGGCATGGTGGCACATGCCTGTAATCCGAGCACTCCGGAGGCTGAGGCAGGAGGATTGCTGCAAGTTTGAGACCAGCCTGGGCTACAAAGTGAGCTCGTGGCCGGCCTGAACTGCACAGCAAGACACTGTCTCAAAAAGCCGGAAAAAAAATAAATAAATAAATGTAAAAATGAGTAAAGCTGTTTCTTAGGTATTTCTAAATGTGTAAGTCTCTTTTTCTTTAACATGTAAGAGTTTTTTAAAAATTGAATTACAGTATATGTTATCAAGGTAAAGCAGTCCTTTTTGCTGTCATTAATTTCACAAAATTGAAAAGAAAGATACATTTTTGAGGAGTTTACCTGGAGATACTGCCTATTAATATCTTAAATATCCTCATAGTTCTTCGAGGCCTCCTTCCTGAGATTGAAGTTAAAATGTGTGTGTGTGTGTGTGTGTGTTTGACAGAGAGGGAGAGACAGAGAGATCTGTGTATGTAAATGGATTTAGTGTAATAATTTGTGAAATGAAGGAGGGAGAGTAACCAATTTAGTCTGTGCCACCTGATACCTCTGTGCCTTTGTGGTGCTGTGATGATTTGGAAGCTGTCACCAGGCACTGTAGAGATGTATATTTAGTACAGCATTCAAGTCTTGTTGATCCATATACATTATTTTATGTATATTTATATAATGTAAATATACATTATTTTACCTATTTGAGTCATGTGTAGCATAGTGGGTGTTATGACAGAGAATAATTCCCATGTGTGTTAGCCAGATTTCTGTTGCTGTAACCAGATACCTGAGATAACCAATATGAAAGCAGAGAGGTTCATTTTGGCTTACAGTGTTGGAGCTGACAGTCCATGGTCAGTTGATCCTGTTTCTTTGGGCCTGTGAGGGAGTGAAGAGAAGAGCAAACGATTCAGCTTGGTGCAGATAGGAGAGAGGCTGGGGAGAGAGATGGGTCAGTTTCCCGGTAGCCCCTTCAAGGCTGCCTCCCCAGTGATCTGCCACTAGGCCTCGTCTCTTGAAGTTCACACCACCTCCCAACAGCACCAAGCTGAGAACTAATCCTTTAACTAATGGGATTTTGAGGGACATTTAATATCCAAACCATGGCACTGTGCTCTCAGGGTTGCATGTATGATTATATAAGCCACTCCCATGGGAGAAAAGATCTTGACTATGTCTAGGGCCTGGTAGTGCTTGCTACCTCTTCGCTGAACTACCCTAAGAAATAGGCACCATTACCTCATTATCTCATACATTCTTTTTTGTTAATTTTAAAGAGAAAAAAACCGGTAGAACAACAACAAAGACAACAACAAAACAACACAAAGGCTCCAGATCTCATGCATTCTTTACAGGGGCAGTATCACTTCCAAGTTGGCAGATACTAGCTCTTGGGGGACACTATGAACAAATTTTACTATTTATATACAAAAATATACATAAAGTACAAACTTAGAATTGCAGTACCCTGTGACACTGAGATATGGAAGAGGAATCTGAATGCAAATGTCTGAGGAAACACTTTGGGGGAGTAGATATGCAAATTAGTGGAGCAGGGTCGATTATCCTAATGTTTCAGCTGAAAAGTCAGGTTTGGAGAGTTTGGGTAGCCTGGGCTTTGGCTCCCTGGGTGGTAAGTGATGAGTTTGGCCCTCAGAGCCGTGCTCGTGTGACCCCAAAGGCTATAGTGCATTGTTAACCTGTCAGTGGATTTTGTTAGATGACCTGGTGGGATGTGCAGGGTTTTAGGAGCTACAGTTTATCTTCCATGTCCATAAGTTTTAGCTAAACATCCATGGAGGCTAAAAACAGTGAGAAAGATGGGAGAAATACACTCGTTTCTAAACAGGCAAGTGTGTTATATGAATGTGTATCCTGTGATGGTGCTTATGTGAAATTCATTTGACTTATTTCTATGATAGCCAAGGTGGATTTAAGAACAAAATTTATGAATTCTAAAAGATATCCCATTATAAGCTTAAAAGCTGTGCATGCCCTTTTGGCCTGTGATATAGCATATGCATGGACTAACCCCACATGGACAGATCATCACAGCCCTTTGCTTTTTTCTGGAAATCCATTAGTTCTCAGCACTTGAGACACTTAATGTCCTCAGAGGTAGAAGCCACTGGATTCTTAACCTTGGCTGATTGTGACCACTGCCTTGGATCTTGTCACTGATAGTTAAATACATTGGTGGAAGTTACTTGTGTGAACAGTGTGGTGGATTCAGGCGCTCCTGAGATATTGAGCTGGAACTTTAGGATTGTTTCCTGAGATAGAGACCCAGAATGGCACATCTGGTACCACTTAACCTCCCTGGTTTACCTGAATTTTCTATTCGAGTCACCGGAAGATGCTCCCACCACAGCACCTTTTGCTATTCCTGACAACCAACTTCCCAGGTTAAGAAAGGATTAGGAAACCAGCCATGTTGGTACAGGTCTCTAACCTTAGCCTTCAGGTAGGCTGAATCAGGGGTGTTATAAGTTCAAACCTGGGTGGAAGAACTTAGTGACATAGCAAGACCTTGTCTCAGAATAAACAGTTTTTTAAAGGCTGGCAATGTAGCTCAATGCTAAGGTCCTGCATTCCATCCCTAGTACCAAAACAGAGAGAGAGAGAGAATGAGAGAAAATGAGAATTGGGTGGCAAATCACAGAACATTTTGGATTTAAATCTAATGAATGTGCTGATATAGCTCAAGACATTAGTAGAATGGGAAAGAAAAAGGGAGGCAAGCGTCCTAACTGGAATGGATTTAAAATTTCAGAGCCCATTAGTCTATCTTCAGAAGACTGCAAAAGAAGAATGAGTTTAAATTTCAATAGCAAAGTTTCAGGCCACGTGTGAGGAAAAGGACCTTGATTCCCTCTCTGCCTGGGATGAAGTTGAGATAATTTTACCTTGGAAGTAAACACAGTGTGCTTCAGGTTTACGACACCGGTGAGCACCTGGGTAAGCAAATTTTATATGTTGAGTAGAAGAAAGGCCGCCAGCTAGGTACATTAATCCCATCCTGGAGCAACGCCGCAGCTTCGGATCCCAGCTCTGCTATCCACCAGCTGTGGGATCTTATGGAATTTATCTAGAGTTGTGTGTGCTTCTGTTTACTCATCTGTAAAGTGAGAGTAAAATAATAACTGCCTCATATAGGTTTTGTGATTCAGTAAATTAAATTTTTAACAGTGCTTTATGAGGCTTTATTAAAATAGAGTCATGTCATCTTTATCAAATTAAAGACTTTTATCAGTGCCTTTGAAATCATATGCACACTTCACTATCTCATATCTAAGAAATAATGTAGATAAATTTTGCGAGCTTTTAAAGCCCTTCATGCTTAGCAATTCAGGTATCTGTGAAGAATGTTTGAATTGTCAAAGGAACCCAAAGAAATGAAACCCGCCCCCTCTGATGTTTTTGGCGCCTCGACAGCTGCAGGTCAGATGGTATGTTAGGGTTACATTCTGTAACCCACACGGGCTGTCTCTGAGGACACTGCTTCTCCAGAAGCTTTCTCAGGTGGCAGCTCTCTTCGCCTGCACACCTCAGTTTCCTGTCGCTAGCAGGTGAGGCTGCTGGCGTCCTTGTTGCTCCGCATTTCTGCTTCCAGACCGTGGTCCTCTTTCCCTGCTCCTTAAAAGACCCGGTCCTTTTGCTGCATTTACTTAGTTTTCACTCGTTGCAGTTCTCTGCTTTTCTTCTAGGCCACCCCACCTCACACATCCAGCATTTATTGTCTTTCCACCGCTGGTGTCGTAATCATGGGGATGCTTTCATGCTGAAAGCACACAGGCATCCACACAGACACCACAGCAACTGCTTGTCCTCCACTCTCCCTCAGACATCTGCTCCTCTGGTGCCGTTCTAGGCCAGGGCTTCACATATGTGCTGTGCATAGAGATCAACTAGGTGCTGCTAAGTGCACTTTGGCTCCAGCACATCTGGCATGGGGCTATGATTGTATTTCTTACAGCCTCCCAGATGATACCAGTGCTGCTTGTCCATGGATCACATTTTGATTAGTAATACTATCAAAATCTTCTCAGGCATCCTAATTTCTGGCCACCTGCTATTATTTTTCAAACTATGTCTTTCTCAATGGAAAGCTTCAGTCTCTGGATCTTCTCGGCTTAGGTTCCATGGTCTGTGGTAGCAGTTTTTTCCTTCCACACATCCTCAACAAGTTTACACCCACTCAATCCATCACACTTACCTATTAATACACCACATTGGTTAAATCAAACTCTCTACCTACTCCCATGAATCCAACCTCCAGATCAAAACTGGAAGAAAAACACAAACGTGCTGACAGGGCTCACTATTAATCGTTATCCACTGCAAATCTTGGTGGCTTTCCCTACAAAACTATATCCTGAATCCAACCACTTCCAAGTCTCTTCTTGGCTACCGTCATTTTGCATGTCACCACCATTTCTCATTCTTAGAAGAAAATAAGTTGTTAAGAATTACTGCTTTGATTTTTACCTGGGTACTATGTACTTTTAGAGTCAGAAGCCCACACAATGTAAGTTTCATAATTACAACTTTCCCGTGACTTCCCATTAACTGATCTGCCTTCTGGCTCCTTCTACATGCCGACCTTCTCTTCTCCATCCTTATGGAGCCTGTCTAGGACCCAGGGTGTTTATATTACCCTCTGCTTATAATGCCTGCTCTTGTTATGCACAGACCCTTCCTCTCAACTCCCAGCTCCTGAGTCAGATGCCACCTCTTCAGGGAATGGGGTCCTAATAACACTATTTAAATTACTTTGACCCCCTTTCCAGAGGCATCAGTGCTTGTCCTTTCAGAGGTTACACTATTTTTCTTCCTAGCACCTATTTCCTGACATTTTCTTTAACAAGGACCCATTGCTTTCTGAGTACGATGAATTATCCTAAGTGCTTTGCAAGTATTAATTCATTAACTTTGTAGTGACCTTCTGGAATTGCGGTGTGATTATACCTATTTTCTGAGGAAAAATCTGAAATTCCAAGAGGTTAAATCACTCATGAAGATTGCACAATTATTACATGCTGCAGCCAGAATTT